CCTATGTAACATAACATTGACTGAGCACTTGTGCTCATGTTTATGTTGCAGCTGAGCCCACCTGCACATTAGCTTGTTATGTTTATGCCTATGCTTGTGTTGCAACCGAGTACTGCCCTTGAAGCCTGTTTCACACTTCTAAGATAATTGTTAGCATGAGGATGAAAAAACAAGTACAAGGATGTTCACACCATTCTAAATTCTATGTTTTTCAGAATTCTTATTGTTAGTCAGTCGATACTCAAAACAAGGATTTTTTCCTTATTTTACCAGTCAGTTCCTTGAAATGTAAGGATCAAGATTTCTGCTTTTAAGAATTTTATACTCTCCCTCAGTTTAAGAATACCACCATTAAAAATAAGATTTACATTCCTTGTTTTAAGAATTATGACTTTGAATTCTCATTTTAAAGATATTTTCACTATTGAATAAATAATTATCTCAAATCCTTGCTTTTAGCAAGTATTCATTCTATGTAGAAAGGTTCTTCTTCCAACTAGATTTATGATAAATCCTTGCCAAAATTTTAGAAATATCTGTGGAATTGTGCTTGTCAAATTCCGAAGGAAATATAACTAAATATAATTTGAAAAACTCTTTTACATTAATTTTTGTTTCAACACACTCAATATCTGTGATTCTTCATGAAACAAGACCACAGTTTTGAGTGTTGCTAGTTTACCCTAAATATAAAGTATTAGGAATATCCTTGTTGCATCTAATTTGCAAAAATTTTTAATTTTAAATGACAATCAAAGTGGTTGTCAAAATAAATCATAAATTTATAACTTCCAGAAGAATAAGCATGGAATGTAAACTGCTACCATTTGTAATTTTTACTTACAATCATGTGATTTTTATACTAAAAATTACTGAACCAGAGTAAAGAACCTCAAACTAAATATAAACCACTTGTTGACAGTAGTAATTATAGTCCTACACCAGCAAGGATATTCATCCTTGTAAAGGGATTGTTGTTGTGACTGTCAACTTATTATTGTTTTAATCTTCAATATGATTCAAAAGAAAAGTTACTGTATCAATTTCTTGAATAACATGTCCTAGGTGTAAAGCCTCTACGATGAGCATTTAGGTGCAGGCAAATCTGTAGTAAGATTTTTGACAAAGAGAAAGAGTAATCTTCAGTATGATTCAAAGGAAAGGCTACTATACCTATTTCTTGAGGAATTTGTGTTTGTCATGAAGCTGCTATATACTGTTTATTTTAGTATTGGTGAATCCGCATAAAGATTTTTATTGAATAGTTAAAATTTCAGCATATTAAGTTAACATGTAGCTGTGCCATTTCTTGAAGAGTTGGTGTTAGGTATAAAGCCATGTCACTTTGCTGTTAATTTGATACATCAAATGAAGTGGGGTGTAACTTAAGTCTTGCTTCAAAATAAAACTTGCTGCTGTGCATGTACCTTAAGTTCAAAATAATATAAAACATTTTAAAGAAAGCACAATTTGGGTTTATTATGTCACATTAAAAGTTGTTGTTGAGTTTGTTGTATGGCCTGGCTGACCTGTGTTACATGCACAAAATATTGATAACAAGAACCACTTCCTGGAGTTAAGATCCTTGTCTCAAGGACAAAGGATTGGGTAAAACACTGAAGCCAGTAGGATTTGGGAGTCTTCCTTGACCCCCATCTGACCTACAATCGCCACATTTCACGTGTAGTGTCATCTTGTTTCGCAAAGCTTTGTCAAATTAATAGAGTCAAATGGAGCTTCGACAAAAAACACTAGAGTTCTTAATAACGTCGCTAGTTTTTAGTAGGATGCTTTATTGCTCATCTGTATGGTCAAATACCACACTCCAGAATATAAACAGATTACAATCTATTCAAAATTTTGCCAGTTAGATCGTAACAAACTTCTTGTTAAAGAACAATTATTTTATAGAGACTCTGTTCTGACCTTTAAATGTCAGAACGGTCTTGCGCCTCAATACTTAACAAGTAAGTTTACCAAGCGATCAAGTATTCATACTCGTAACACTCGTACGCAGAACTCTTTGCAGATTCCGCTATACAAAACGGCTACTGGCCAGCGCACTTTTTCATATAGAGGGGCCAACATATGGAATAACTAGCATAAAGAACTTAGGCAAAATGCCTCATTGGCATCTTTCAAGTGCGCTCTGCAAGACACACTATTGAGGCAGACATTTACTTTATAAGCTCTAGAACTTAGTGGAATACTATCTTAAATTTTGACCATGAGTTTTATCGTTATTTATGTTTTTATAAATTGTAAAAAGTTTGTAAATAGTTTCTGAAAAACCTCATGAGGATCTTACTATTAAAGATGATGATGATAGGGATGATGTATTATTTAACGATCTTTGAGAAGTGCTCTCTTTTGAGATCTTTACTTACTCACTTTGAAAAAAATAGGTCTTACTCTGAGAAACTTTAGTCACCTAATCAAGTAAGGCCTCTGTTATCAGTTTTAGGCAGTATTTGTCACTCACTGTCAGTGCATATTCCTTGTTTTGAGAACTGATAATCACACTCATTTTGAGTGATATCAATCCTCTTCTTTAGAACTTCCTGTTCCTCACTCCAGGACGCATTTTTAAAAAAAAAATCCTCAATTCAACGTATCTGGAAACATACAAACTTAACAGTGCACTAATAACATACGCATACACAGTGTGAGTTACACCACTGAAGAAACAGCACATTGATTGATTGAACTTATGCTTGAGCTTCTTTCACTGCAGTTCCCACTTGTGAACCACTTTCCAACGTCGATACAGCTCCAGGAATACCAAACAAGCCTCAAACAAGCCTCAAACAAGTCACCTTACAAACAGTTGGCTGTGAGCAACACTTCAAAATCGGACTATCGGCGAGCAGCGACTCGAGTCGTTTGAGCCCGCGGTTGAAATTACCAAAAGATCAGCGTTTAAATGTAAAATTTATATCTGGATAAAGTTTCACCCCAGGGTAACAAGGTGTTTCAGTGGCTTTATAGTAAAAAGCAGTGTGGTAGCTGACATTCTCAGGGTAGCAACGTAGGTGGTTCAAATGCAACGTTCTCAAGTATAGTCTGAGTTTGGCTTACCTTTTCTTTTTTATTTTTTTTATTTTTTCCGACACAATAATCATTTCCCTGGATGTGTACGTTTAAAAATAGAAGTATAGATACCATAAATGAAATATACGCTGCAAGAGATAAAAGTGTATTCGGAGATTGGTCAAACTTTAATTAATTCACAAATGAAAAATGTCTACTTTTTTACTCTTTCAAGATTATCATTGGCTTCTTTTTCACACCAACACTATTCTTAGCTACAAAGGTCGCCATTTCATTTGTTTATCACTCGCCAAAAACTATCAAATGTATTCAAAAGCCTAAAAGAGAGAAAAGTTTGTAGGAATCGACTAATCGAGCGAGCGAGCGAGCACCATTCACACATAGTACGTACAACTCGCTCTTGCGCATGCGCAATTCACAAGTTAAAAAGGGAACGATCAGACTACACCAAAGAGAATAAAGAGGGGAAGTTTCTAAAACAACTGTGGTGCTGCATTGATGGGAAAGGATAACTGGGTAATTTTGGTTTTATCAACTGAGTTGATGATGTTTATTGGCTTTTAAAGAGTTTGAAAGGCAAGGCTTCAAGTGTTAGCCTTTCATCAGAGAGAGCCCCAAAGAGAGCCCCCCCCCTCCCCATGGAAGGTATATCTTTTGCTTTTTGTGCATTTAGTACTAATGGAAACCAAAGTCAGTTTCTAGCTTGTGTATAAATGGTGCAAAAGCAAATTACATTGAACACATTATTATTTACCTAATTGGGATTTTCTCTCCCATATAGGGCTCCTTTCTCAACACTTCCATGATTCTGTTTTGTAGCAAATGAATTGCATCCCCACAGCTGTTATCAGCATTAATTTCATTATCTTAAAAATAAAATGCAAACAAATATTTTTCATCAAAAACAGGCAAATCTCAAAATAACACTTTTCATGATTACAAAGACAGCTAAGTTGTTTAAAGGGAATGTACCCTGAGTGATCTCCAGATCTTTTCAGGTAGCCAGCAATTAAAAAGAGTAGCCCAGGGGAGACAAGTCAGTTCTTACAGAGAACCAGCTTCATCTTCTCCACTGGCATCCAGTTTATTTCTGCCTCAACTTTTACCTCTCCAGTATTAATCAACCTTTGTAGGGTACATACCAAAATCAAGAAAAGCTTTAAAGATCAAAAGTTAACAGATCTCTAACTGTTTTGTCTTAAACCACTAGCAGGAAATTCACAGCTGAGTAGCCAGTGAAAATAATGAAAACACTGGCAATCCCTGTTTCGGGAGAGCACTGCACAACTGCGATTTAAATACCTTATTTTAATTCAACATATCTCACTAAGTAGCAATACATATTTTGGGAAACCTTTTGGCTTAGAGACTTCACATCACTGTATAACTAGCTAATTGAATCACTGCTAGCTTGCCAGTTAACTTGCAAGTAATTGTGAAGCAATCTTCTATGAGATGTTTACCCACTCTTTTGACCCTTTAACTCCCCTGAGTGACCAATAAAGAACAAAAACTGAGGGAATCATAAAAAAAAAAAAAAAAATAGAAAAAAAGAAAGGTAAAAATATAATTATAATTGCAAAAAAATCTAAAGTGTCTAGCCTAATGGGAGGGTTGAAATCTCTGATGAATATAAAAATTATTAACTACAAAACCACAGAACAGAACTCTGAATTAATTTGGTTCCAGTCCAAAGTTTTTCCATGCACAAGTAGGTAGATAGCACCACAGGCAGCCCAACCTCTCTTTGAAAACCACACAAGGAACACAATTTGCATATCAATTTATAAGGATTTGTATGGGATTTTCTACAAGATAGCCATAGAGATAGTTAAAAGTGAAAATATTAAATAAAAATGGCTTACCTTAATCCATACGTGTGTTGCTTGCTCCTGGTGTCGTTATTTTACCGATTTCACTTGATTTAA